CCGGTCGCCATATGGCATCAATCAATCTGCGTAGCCATAGGGCATACGGCTGATACTCACACAGGTGGCTCGACTCCCCCGACCCCACCCATGTCCCCAACCCCTTCTGGGCGCGGCGACCTCACCCCTCAAAGGCACGGTTCGATGCACCAGGCCGGGAGGGGCGCCAGCGGATCAGGGCCGGAACCCGATGGGCAACCAGCCAGGCATCACCACCGGAAGCGGACTCGCGAGCGTTCACCCCCCAGGAGGCGCCGCTCTCACCGCACGTCCCCAGAGAGGAAGAGAAGACGACGCAACTCTTCTCCCGGGTCATACGACCGAGTGCAGAGCGACGAGGAAGAGGGCTCGAGATCCCGCCCTAGGAGACGACACGCCCGGTCCCCGTCATCCTCGAGTAGTTCGTCACAAGGGTCGCGGCCGTCTTCGAGGGGTTCGTCCGGGCGAAGCCACGGACGCAGGTCTTCGAGGAGCCCATCGTCAGGGTCCTCATCGTCCACCCATCGGTCGAGGACTACGCACGCACGTCGCCACGCCCCGCGCAGAAGTCACTCGCGGAATCGGCGCTCGAGGTCAGAGCGGCACATACACCGTGTGCAAGAGACGACCAAAGGTCCGCGTCGCCCGCAACTCGTCAGGGGAAAGCAGGCGAAAGCCGACTGCTATTCGATCCCCGACCCCATCCGGAAAAAGTTCCAGGAAGGGTGGACGACACACATCCCACTCAATTATCTCCCCGACAAGGCCGTCGCGGAATACGGCTGCGACACGTTGTCCCTCCTCACGGACATGTACGCAGTCGACCCCGCAAGAGGCCTCATCCAAGCCGAGAAGGTTCTCCCGTCGGCGGGAGAACTGAAGCTGTCGTTCGGAGAGTGGCACCAGGCTTGGAAGCGTTTGCTCCAGCTGATCAAGGCTTACTTCCCCCGCGATTACGAGCGGTGGAAGAAGCATTTCCGGCGCATATGCTGCACGGACGGGGCCACGTCTGAAAACTGGACCCTTTGGCTCGCGTACGACGCGGAGGTCCGCCGCCGGTGTCATCTAGAGGGTATAGACCCCGGGACTTTCCACAAGAACATCTGGAAGAAGGTGGAGCCCACGCATATCAAAGCACAGGTCATGGCGTCCTTGCAGCCCTTTCGGGCCCAAACCGCATCACGGAGCTCCGGCGCCAGACCCGAACAATCATCCAGGCACGCATCCGGGCGGGCCCAGCTCTCCTCCCCGAAACCCATCGACTCGAAATGTTTTTTCTGCGGCGGAAAGGGCCATAAAGCCTCGGCCTGCAAGGCCGACAGGCTCATCAACGGACAGCCGGTCAGGCTCACCCGCGGCGAGGACCGTTTGGTCAAGGACGACAAGGGCCGCCAGTATTGCTTCTATTTCAACATGGCCGGCGGATGCACGAAGAAAGACGCCGGACCCTGCGCCAAAGGAGACCACCGTTGCACTCTCTGCGGGGGTACGAACCACGGAGCGCAACTGTGCACCGTCGTGTGCTGAGCCCTTCCGAATCATCACCCCGTTTATCGCGCCTCGTTGGAACGAGGCGCTCGCTAAATACGATTTGCACCGGAGGTTCCCCAGAATCGTGTCGAGCATCACGAACGGGTTCGACATGGGAGTCACCTCCGTGTTAATAGATACTTACATTCCCCCTAATCATCGTTCGGCGACTGAGAACAGCGATGCCATCGACATCTATGTCGCGAAAGAAAGACGCGCCGGGCGCTACACAGGCCCGTTCTCCAAGCCGCAGCTCGAAACTCTCATAGGGCCGTTTCGAACGTCTCCGCTGGGCGCCGTTCCGAAAGCCGGCACGCAGGAAATGCGGATGATACAAGATTTTTCTTTCCCGCGCAACAACCACTCTCACGCGTCAGTCAACAGCGAGATCGACACTGACCTTTTCCAATGCGAAGGGGGGTCTTTCACCGAAATGGCGCTGTTAGTCATGGAGGCGCCGCCGAACGCTCAAGTCGCGACACTCGATGTAGACGCGGCCTTTCGCTGCATCCCGATACGACCGGATCAGCAGCGCCACTTCATCGTTCACTGGCGCGGTCAGCTTTGGATAGACCACAACGCGCCTTTCGGACCGGCGAGCTCACCGGGCGTCTGGGGCCGAGTTGCGGACTGTATGGCGGCCATCTACCTTGCCTGGGGGGTAGACGCGCTGAAGAAGTGGGTAGACGATTTTGCCTTCTTCAGATACCCGCGAGAGATAGATGCGAACGGAGACCCGAGCTATTGGTACGGCCTCGCAGAGATCATGGCGCTGGCCGACGACCTGGGATGGCCATGGAAACCGTCGAAGGCGCACGACTTCGCGCAGGTTTTCAAGTACCTTGGATTCGTCTGGGACCTGGTTTCGAAGCGCGTCTCGATTCCGGAGGAGAAGAAGTTGCGCTACTTGAGCAAGCTGGAAGCCTGGACACCAGGCAACTCTTTCACGAGGAAGGAGGCCGAGCGGCTCCTCGGCACTCTCATCCATTGCAGTATGGCAATTCCGGACGGACGGTCGCGTCTCGTTCATCTTTCCAAGTTCACCAGCTCGTTTCATCACGCCTTGTCACCGTTTGCGAAGAAGAAGCCGAACGCGCAGGTGTTCGAGGACATCGAATTCTGGAGGGCTCAACTACGGCTACAGGAGTGCGGTAGTACTCTCTTGGTTCCGTCTTTCGTCTCAACCTGCGATTTGTGGGTAGATGCCTCCACTTCGTTCGGAGTCGGAGCGGTCATCGACGACTCTTGGGATGCGTGGGCATTCAAGCCAGGCTGGAAATCGGATGGGCGCGACATCGGCTGGGGAGAGATGGTCGCAGTCGAATTCGGATTGCGATTGGAGATCGCGAGAGGTGTTTCAGACGCCCGTTTGATCATGAAATCGGACAACCAGGGCGTCATCGGCGCCCTGGAAGCTGGGAAGTCAAGGAACGTCGAGCAAAATCGGGTCCTTCAGAGGGTAGTCGCGCTCATGCGCGAAGCCAATATCTGGGTCGTATCCCAATACATTCCGTCAATCCAGAATAGGGCGGACAAGCCCTCGAGGGGGATCGCCCCAAGGGGTCTTCCGTGTTTCGATTCCCCCTTTAAAATACCTTTCTGCTTATCCGGACTCATAGATAGATCGACAGGATTGTAATTACTTCGCCTCTGACATTAATCGCAGTCTCCCGGAAGAGAGCGAGTGGAGACAGACGCGAGGTGCCGCGTGGCAGCCCTTGCCACCCACGTCGACCTCTTATGCGCACGGTGACAACACCGCCCACGACTAGGTGCTCCTGGCGGCGGGACCTCCACTCATCGCAACGGGATTCCCCTCTGAATGACCACTTCATCTTACCACACTCGAGATCGCGGTCGGCCGGGCTCCACAATCCGAACAAAATCAAGTTGTCGGCGGCTACGGAGGAGCATTTAGCAAAGGCTCTGCTTCATGGGTGGGCCCCATCAACTCTCAGAGGATACAACGGTGCGGTAAATCGGTTCATTCGGTTCTGCAGAAACGGGAAGATTCACCAACGCTTCTGGCTACCGGCGGACGAGCTCGTACTTTGCGCGTTTGCGGCATCGAGCAAAGGCCGCCATGCGGGCAGCACCGCCAGGAACGCCCTCGCCGGGCTTAAGGCCTGGCATTCCGCGCAGAACGCAGAATGGAAGGGAGGCAAACGCCTCAACTACATACTGAACGGGGTCGAGAACAGACGCCCCGCCCTTTCCCATCGACCACCCCGCCTCCCCATCAACCGGAAGATGCTACGCATCCTCAGGGCCGGCCTCGACCTGACGGACAGCGTCGACATGGCCGTCTTCGCGGCCGCTTGTGTGGCGTTCTGGGGCCAATGTCGCCTAGGCGAACTCCTCCCATCTTCAACAACGCCGGCGGCCGCAAGGAGGACCCGACTCGCGCGGACGTCACCTTCCCATCACCCGCATTCCCCTCTCACATTATCC